TTGTAGTACATTTCCTGCTGTCAGACCAACCTCTTCTGGCAACATACACAGCTGATCTGAGAACACTCCACCATGCCCTAGCATGTCTGCATCTGTCTTCCCAGGCTGTGAATCATAGTCACAGGTGACTGGAACACTACCAATGCCAGCCTCCTTTGTAGTACTGATCTGTCTTAGCTATTTCCACCTGATCTTTCTGGCAGAAAATATCATTGTGCCTTAAAATGAAATATGCCATGGAAAAGCTGCCTCCACAAATGTGGCAGGGCACACATTGCTGTAGCTTGCATATTAACATCTCTCAAACAGTTAGTCTGTGGTCAGCAGGCCCTCCAGGCACTGTGATATGGTCACAATACTTTCAGGGTGACTCCCTACCTGCAAACCCACTACCACAGAAAAGACATTTTTGCCAGGCATTTCACATACTTGCTGAGCAAGTTATGTACAACTTGTGGTGTCTGTACCATGTATGCCTTTTTGGGAACATAATCAACCGGGACAGCTGGGCTATTTTAGGTCTATCCATTCTTACAGAGCCTCTCAAATGCTACTGGAAATATTTCAATATAACAGCTAGTGTGAGCAGACTTTTTGAATTTTGAATGTCTTGACATTTTGAGCATGAAAAGTCAAATGCAGTTTGTGTTGCTGCTCTGTCTACTGAACTGGCACTGGTAAATGTTAAATGTAAGTCAAGTGTAAAGGTGCATAAAAACAAAAACCTTCATGTCTAAGCTATAGCAGACTGTTTCTCTTAGATGTTTTTCTTTATACCATTCCCTCCCTCCATGCCAATCGAATCCACATTTATATTATCAAAAATGGGAGTTGGAGCCCATAGCCTGCAGCTTAAACTGCCCTGTGCTGATCAAAAACATTTTATAGCAATGCAATACAACTATTGTTATACTAACTACACCCTTATGGAGCTCTGTCCAGTGTCTAGCAGTGAGCTTACCCATTCCCAGAGGGAGTGGATCAGTGTTTCCTTTGGATGAAAAACTCGGAGAACTGTGAGTTACTTCCAGTTCTAGACCCAGAGCTGGGATATTGAATAGTACTGAATTTCTTCTTGAGGGGGGAAACACTTTTATAGAAGTTCTAGGGAGCACTTATTTAATAATCAACAATATTAGTGTGAGGGTCTTATCCATTACTAAATTCTGGAAATAGCATGACTCTTGAGTTCCTCCAGTCTAGATGGAAAAGGGAGGCTTTGGGGCATTAGTAGCAATGTTGGGTTTGGTACTTGTAACACCATTTGCAGTAAAATGACACTCAAATTGCAAAGCTCCTGGCAGAAGGAGAAGGGATTTGGGGCAGTAGATGTGAGATTCAGACTTTCAGGAGATAGAGTCAGTGGAGTTATGGACCTTCTCTGTGGCACTTTCAGGATGCAAGACATCACTGAACAGTGCCGCAGGTGATGGTACATATCATCAAATGTATGTAGGAAATTTCTTGTTCTGGATTTCCAGCTTCCCTAGCCATGAATAACTTGGGGTTAGTGAACTGAATGAGCAGAGTCAGGAATACATCAAGCAATAAATAGTGGTGATTGTCAGCAATTTTTGATTCTGAATATTTTCACTTTTATATTAATTCTTTCCTTTCCTAATTGTTCTTTTCCTTCTTTCACCAGTTACTTCATTTCAGCTTCACTTTCCCTGCCTCTTTTTCCACTCTTTC